GTTGTGGAGAGTGGGGTGATGTGGGCGGGATTGAGGAAGTATAATGACTTGACCCAAGTGCATTACGTATGAGATCCCTTGTGTACTAAATTAACTGCACAGTCTTTAGGCAAATGCATAAAATCTCTGTCCCTGATGCCCATTGCTCAGAGTCTTTTTGTGACTCATCCCATTCGAGCCTGTAAGGACTCCTTTTGAGGGAGGTGAGAGACTATTTTATTGTTATGGAATTAAATTTCAGGAGGAAGATTAGCAGTTATGGGGTTGTGGGACCTAAAGTAGATGAATGAAAATATTAAGACCTTTGTATACAATGGGTATTAGTTTTTTCGAGTAAATTTCCTTTGAGAGTATATTTCTTCCAATGCTACATAAAGGTGTATCATGCTGTCATTTTAAAGTGGAGGAAACAGGAAAATTATCATCCAAGAAATTGTCAAATACCATCAAACAGTTAATTTCCTCCTTCTTTTTCCTCCCTTCCTCCCTCCCTCTCTTCCTCCCTCCCTCCTTCCCTCCCTCCCTCCCTCCCTTCCTTCCTTCCATCATCCATCCAGCCTTCCATCCTTCCCCGACACAACATTGTCACAAATATGGACTGTCTCAGGAAAATGTGAAATGCTTTCTGGAGTGGGTGGAGAGTGAGGAGACTCTGGCCATTAGAACCGCTTTGTCTCTCAGTGTGCCGAGTAGCTCTGAGCCACTTCTGAGAAGATTCCATATTGGATAATCTCCTGACTGCTGTAGGCAGTGGGAGGTCTCCTATCATGATCCTTTATACCTCCCAGACACTATTTGTCACTGTTGAGGAATGACATTGTTCTTCAGTGTGTTGGACTGTAGGAGCGCTCAAATAAAAGAGCATTCTCAGACCCCAGAAAGGACTTGATGAATTGGGGTATATTGATAGGTAATCAGATCTACTCCTGTCTATGAGTTAGACACTCATGTGATTTGACACCTGGTGGAAGCTGAGGAAAAGGCGCGACCTGTGAGAATGTGTCAGTCAGGCACATTCGTGATATCTGGACAGACTCTGAGAGTGTCCTCAGTCAGAGCAGTTAGCTCAGGAGCATGGATCAGGGAGACAGAGATGACTTCTCCAGGGCACTGAAGGTGCCTGATCAAGGCTGGGGAAATCTTTTTATTTTATTTTATTTATTTATTTTTTAAATTTATTTGATGGATAAAGTTAGACAATGAGAGAGAGAGAGAGAGAGAGAGAGAGAGAGAGAGAGAAAGGTCTTCCATCTGTTGGTTCACCCCCCAAATGGCTGCTATGGCCGGAGTTACGCTGATCCAAAGCCAGGAGCCAGGTGCTTCTTCTGGTCTCCCATGGGGTGCAGGGCCCAAGCACTTGGGCCATCATCCACTGCCTTCCCGGGCCACAGCAGAGAGCTGGACTGGAAGAGGAGCAACCAGGACTAGAACCCGGCACCCATATGGGATGCCAGCACCACAGGCAGAGGATTAACAAAATGAGCCACGGTGCCGGCCCCAAGGCTGGGGAAATCTTTCAGAGGCATTTGAGAAGAATTCTAGGGTACCTGGAGCTACATGGGCAGTCACTTTCGTGCGTGCAGCTTCATCAGGAGAACAGACTCCAATCACAGTCCTCTTTGCTATTCCTAAAGTACCCTGTATTCATCAGCATCAATAAGCGGGTCATCTTGAGCTTCTCACTTTAAATTACTGAAGCCTTGCCTGACTCCTTGTCTCTGTTTCCTGATATTACCTTGTCAGCAGAGTGCTGCATACACTAGCCCCCACTGGCACCTTCTTACCTATTTTGATTTCTTCTCTCTCTTCCGGAAAGGTGGCTTTCCTCAGGGGACTGTATGTTTTCATAGTGGCTGTTTGGGCACAGAATGCCCAAGTAGTTGTCTATAGCCAGTGCATTCTCTGAAGCTTCTACTAGGCTCTTTTCATGTGATTGTATTTTTAGTATGGTTTCAGCTGTTTCTTAGGGGTCATACAGCAATGAAACAGGGGATGAATTTTCTTACTCTGGACATTAACACGTAAGAAGAATAAAACCTGGAAGATGAGGGAAACAAATGATTGTGTGTATTTACTATATGCTAGGCACTGAATAAATGCAACGGTGCAGATGAGAGGTTACCTGTGCTTTCTTACCCCTTGGGGCTCTGAAATTCTCATTACCTGTGTCATGTACCAACTCAGATCCTGCAAATAGATATCAAGCTGAATGTTTACCCTGAAAGGGCATGGTGATGTTAGACCTAGAGATGGACCTTAGGTTTAAAAATTATTCCAATTACAAACATATTTTTCTTGCTGCTTCTAAGGAATGAGTCCTCTGTCCACTAAACTACTTGTGCTTCTACCAGAAGTTGACATCGTTTAACTTTCTATTTTCAGTCTTTTCTTCAAGTCCTTACAGTTAGGCAGCACTTGCCCTCTTTGTGGACACTTGGCTCATCATTTACTAGTCCCTTGGACAAAAGAGTCATTTCTGAACTTCTCAGTGTTCAACTGGCTTGGATACAAGGTGCACATGCATTTCGTATTTTCACCAAAATGTATCCTTGTTCCTCTTACAGATATAGACAGGAAGAAAACACAAAGAACTGATGGAATGTCAATGGCAAACAATCATAAAACCTCTGTAGCACTTCCCCTTCTCATCCTGTGATAAAGGGGATAAGATTAGCCATCTGCTGAGGGGCTGTCTTTGTTACACTGCTTTTGTCCATTCCTCCTCCTTGATCCTTCACCCCCTTCCATCTGTGTCAGGAGTCTTCCCCATTTAGTTGATTTAGGAAGGTCTCTTTTACTTGGGTCATTTCACAGATGAGGATATTAAGTTTAGTAAGTTTACAAAAACTTCAAGTCCTAGCTCTATTCTTTGCATTGTGACAATATTTCTGATTCTCAAATTCCTATTTTGGAAAACTGTTTGTGACAACACCTATTGGCCTGTCGGCCTGTGTTGGTAGAGAGGTTAGTGGTTGTTCATAAGTAACATTTTTACACTAGTGCCTTCCATTGAGAGGGTGTTATAGAAAGGTTGCTCTCTCTTTTTTATTTATTTGAAAGTCAGAGTTACACAGAGAGAGGAGAGGCAGAGAGAGAGAAAGAGAGAGAGAGAGAGAGAGAGAGAGAGAGAGAGAGAGAGAGGTCTTCCATCCGTTGGTTCACTCCCCAACTGGCCGCAACAGCTGGAGCTGTGCTGATCTGAAGCCAGGAGCCAGGAGCTTCTTCTGGGTCTCCCACATGGGTGCAAGGGCCCAAGGACTTGGGCCATCCTCCATTGCCTTCCCAGGCCATAGCAGAGAGCTGGATCAGAAGAGGAGCAGCTGGGACTCGAACCGGCACCCATATGGGATGCCGGCACTTCAGGTCAGGGCGTCAACCCATTGTGCCACAGCGCCGGCCCCGAAAGGTTGCTCTCTTGATCCATTTCTTTATAGAGTGATACATCGATCTCTCTCTTAGTAGGATAACTTCACAGTTTCATTGAATTTTTTTAATGTCTTAAAAAATATTTATTTATTTTATTTATTTGAAAGGCAGAGCTACAGAGAGGCAGAGGCAGAGAGGCAGAGAAGAAGAGAGAGAGGTCTTCCAGCCAATGGTTTACTCCCCAGATGGCCACAACAGACTTAGCTGTGCCAATCTGAAGCCAGGAGCCAGGAACTTCCTCTGGGTCTCCAATGTGGATACAGGGGCCCAAGGACTTGGGCCATCCTCCACTGCCTTCCCAGGCCACAGCAGGGAGCAGGACTGGAAGTGGAGCAGTTGGGTCCTGAACCGGATGCACTGCAGGCAGTGGTCTCATCTGCTACGCCACGGCACCAGCCCCCTCATTGAATTCTAATTGTTGACATCATTTCCCATCCATTCTATTTTCTACTTCGTTGCAAGGTAAACATATCTCAACTACTTTCCTACTTCTTTTTTTTTGACAGGCAGAGTGGACATGAGAGAGCGAGAGAGACAGAGAGAAAGGTCTTCCTTTTCCGTTGGTTCACCCCGCAATGGCTGCTGCGGCTGGCGCACCACACTGATCCAAAGCCAGGAGCCAGGTGCTTCTCCTGGTCTCCCATGTGGGTGCAGGGCCCAAGGACTTGGGCCATCCTCCACTGCCTTCCCGGGCCACAGCAGAGAGCTGGATTGGAAGAAGAGCAACCGGGACAGAATCCGGTGCCCCAACCGGGACTAGAACCACGGGTGCCGGTGCTGCAGGCGGAGGATTAGCCTATTGAGCCGAGGCGCCGGCCTGCTTTCCTATTTCAAAACTCATCATAGCTGACCATTTTCCCCCTGACACAATGAAATCTAGACACTTTAATTTGTATTCAGTCTACTTTCTTGCTCCTTTTCTCCCATTTGCTCCTGTTTTGCAAAGCCACACAGATGAAAGCTGTTGAAATATAATTGACATTTTTGCACAACATAAATTAAATTAAATTAAAAATCCCATTTTCTGCAAACTTTTTGAAGTTTGTGTTTGCCTTTCTGTGACTGGTTGATTCAAATAGCCACTGGTTTTTAAACACATTGCAAGAGTGAACAGTGAGAATTACTATATTCCTATATTAAAATTTTCAGTGCAACTCTGGCATACCCTATTAGAGTGTCATTTTGAATGCAGGCTCCTCTGCTTCCAATCCAGCTTCTTGCTAATGTGCCTGGGAAGGTAGTAGAAGATGGCCCAAGTACTTGGGCCCCTGCCACCCATGTGGGAGGCCTGATAGGAGTTTCTGGCCTCTCTGTTGCTATGCCTTTCAAATAAATCCTAAATTTTTTTGTATCAAGAATATGTTAACTTAATCATTTATTTTCATTTGTATACATATTTATGAGATTAAGACTCATTTAGGAAACAAATTGTGTCTTACCTTTATATATCACAGTTCCTGGCTCCAGAATGGAATGGAATCAGATAGCTGTGAGAATTCCCTGGTGACATAAATGAAAATCCTGGATGTAATCTGTGTTTTCTTCTCTGTGACTGGACAGAGAGGTTCCAGGTTGTCTGTTCCAGGTATGACTATTGCAAACCACACTGGTGTTAGCCACACAGTCTTCCGCTTGCTGGGCATCCCTGGCCTAGAGGACCAGCACATGTGGATTTCCATCCCCTTCTGCATCTCCTTTGTCATCGCCCTGCTTGGGAACAGCCTGCTCATCTTCATTATCCTCACCACGCGCAGCCTGCACGAGCCCATGTACCTCTTCCTCTGCATGTTGGCCGGAGCAGATGTTGTCCTCTCCACATCCACGGTGCCTCAGGCCTTGGCCATCTTCTGGTTCCACGCCGGGGAGATCTCCCTGGATCGCTGCATCACTCAACTCTTCTTCATCCATTCCACCTTCATCTCTGAGTCAGGGATCTTGCTGGTGATGGCATTTGACCGCTACGTTGCCATATGCTACCCACTGAGATACACTGCTATTCTTACACGTGGACTGATTGGGAAAATTGGTGTGATTGTCTTTCTGAGAAGTTATGGCACAATTGTTCCTATAATATTTTTGCTGAAAAGACTGACATTCTGCAAAAGCAACATCCTCCTAAATACTGGTTGTAAGCACATTGTCTTGGCCCACGTTTCTTGTAACGATATCCAAATAAACATCTGGTATGGGTTTTTTGTCCTCATGTCAACGGTGGTTTTAGATATTGTGCTGGTGTTTGTTTCCTATGTGTTGATTCTCCATGCTGTCTTCCGCAACCCATCCCGAGACGCTCGCCACAAAGCTCTCAGCACTTGCGGCTCCCACGTTTGTGTCATCATCCTCTTTTACGGACCTGGGATCTTCACCACCCTCACTCAGCGTTTTGGACACCACATTGCACCACACATCCATGTTCTTCTGGCCAATGTCTGCATTCTGGCACCACCTATGCTGAATCCCATCATTTATGGGGTCAAGACTAAACAGATCCGTGACCAGGTGGTTCACGTGTTGTTCACAAAACAGAAGTGACTTTGATGCTGGAAGCTGATGTCTCCATGTATGGGTATGCATGCTCTAGCATCAGGAGATGGCAGCAGGTGAGGTCCTAGTTGAAAAGCCTGCAGTTGTTGTTGTTTCTAGAGCAATTGCACTGATGGAGATTTGGTGCGTGTTTCTTCCAAGGTCTCTGTCCTTGAAGATCAGTGTCCTTGGAGCTTAGTTCTCTATCTTGCCTATGGGACTGAGAAGTAGGTCAGGCTGCTCTCTCAATTTCTCTCACCGCTATCACCATGGACTGAAGAACTGGATGAGGTGAATCTATTATGGTGACCTTTCCTGGTATGTTTTATGATTGAACCGCTTTAGTATAATCAAGTATAGAAACTTCTCCTGCCATTCTCCTAAATGTCCTCTGTATCTTCAAGTTCTTGCTCTTTATAGCCCATTGCTGTCCTGTTTGCATCATTTCTACAATGTAAAACTGTAACAAAAGAAAAGAAAGCAAGATAAAGCTATCCCATGAGTCCACACTCCCCTGTAACTGCTGCTTCATTTCTCTTCCACATCATACAGAAAAGCACATTGAGTAATTTGTCCTCTTGCAGGATGGAATTTCCGTTCTTTGCCTTGTTCCTACTCCACTTTGGCTTTCACCCACATCATCTCACTGAGGCTGTATCTGACAGGGTCACAGTGATTTTCTTCTTTTAGGAATATTAGTATATTTATCCCAACTTGAATGTGAAGTACAGATGCTGAGCACAAAGTTACTTTTTCCTTCCTCTTTTTTGGGTCCGTAAGCTATGTGAGCTTTCTTGATTTATATAAGCAAGGTTAGTTGGGGACAATCATTTAAATGGTTTTTTCTAAAGTGTGCTTGTCATGAAAATTATTTATTTAAATTGAATAATGAAATTCACACTGCTAAACTGTCAAAATCCCTTCTCATTCACTATATGAGCAGCATTTTGTAACATTAAACTCTCCTTTCTTCATTGAAAATATTTCTTCATTCTACCGCTCTTGTGCTCCTTTGGTCTTCCTGGTGACACCTCGGGATCCTCTGGTAGGTTTTCCTCATTTCCTTCTTTTTGTAAAAGATTTATTTATTTGTTTGAAAATCAGAGTTACACAGAGAGAGAAGGAGAGGGAGAGGGAGAGGGAGAGGGAGAGAGAGAGAGAGAGAGAGAAAGTGAGCACAAAAGCGAGGTCTTCCGTTTGCTGGTTCACTCCCCAGTTGGCCGCAACGGCTGGAGTTGCGCTGATCTAGAGCCAGAGCCAGGATCTTCTTCAGGTCTCCCATGTGGATGCAGGGGCCCAAGGACTTGGACCATCTTCCACTGCTTTCCCAGGCCATAGCAGAGAGCTGAATGGGAAGTGGAGCAGCCGGGACTTGAACTGGCGACCATATGGGATGCCAGCACTGCAGGCGGCAGCTTTACCCGCTACACCACAGCACTGGCCCCTCCTTGACTCTTAACCAGAATTTCTAGGACTTAGAGAAAAGTAGGATTTCAAGGACTATCTACAGTTACTCTTTCATCTCACGCATTCTCATGGTTACAGATTTATAGATGCATCAATATTCTAAGTCCTTCCAAATTCAAACCTCCATTGTCTAATTTGTCCTAGACTCACAGTTCTAATTTGTGCTTAACATATCTACTTGTAGGTCTATATGCATCTTAAATTTAATATGCACAAGACAAAACTTGTTTTCTTACCACCAAACCTCATCCTCCAGGAGCCCACCTCTTACCAATTAAGAAAATTTTTTCTTCAAATTGTTTAGGTCCATCCTCAGTGCTCATTCTCCTCTCATACATTATATCACTCCATCTCTGCTTGCTGGTCACCCTCCTTCTATCTTTACACTTTTCATTAATGTGCACATTGGACATTTTCATTCGTTAATTTATTGTAACAGTGGTATTGGGCTATAACTCACATGCCATAAAATTATAAATTTTCCTGTCCATCCGTTAGCCCACAGGACCCAGGCAAGTTTCCTCTTTTTACCCTGTAACCCCAGTTGCATAATGTTGTCTGAAAACAGTATTCAAAATGCGCTTGCTGAATGACTGAGTTAATTACTGGAGGTGCATTAGCAAATAAATAAAATTTCTACCTGCAGAAAAATCTTTGAAATATCATATACAATTCCTCCTGCAACACTGCCCTTACTTCCCCATTTCAGTTATTTCTGTTTAAGCTTAGTTTACTGAGGTTTGTTCAAGAGGAGTCTTTAAACTCAGGCACATACAAGCTTTGTTAATGCAGTCTCTCAAAGGTCTCTTGACCCCCTTCTCAAGTGAGAAAATTGTATGTGGTGAAGTTGGAGAGATTTAAAATCTCATTTCCATCAGTTAGTGACTGTTGACAGGTGACAAGTTGTCTAAGTCTCACTTTCCTTCAGTGTGAAATGGGACCAATATTCAGGTGCTAGAAAAGATATTCAATGCCTAAATGGAAAAATATACTAAGTGCTACCTGCTCTAAAGCAGATGTGTAATAAACAGTTTATAAGGCAGATGTGTAATAAATGGTAGTTCAATTGTGATTTAGATTATGTTCAGGTCCATTCCATTCCTGATATAGGATTAGTCTTTTGGAATCCAATCTGTTCAGTCAACTGTTGTTCTAAGAAACCACCATAGGTAATCTTTCTAAATTGATCATTCTTAACTACAGGCTGCAAGATGTCTGTTAGTTGTTTCCTGTGTAAGACACCATAAGACAATGGGAAAATAACAAAAGTATAAAGAATAACTTTAGTTAAAAACCAATGATAACCTTTTGGTGAATGACATATATTCTTTATTCTATGCATATGCATTTTCATAATATTGAGCTATGTATAAAATCTAGAAACCTGCTTTTACTGTATATCATAAAATAAACATATACCCATTTAAAAAGCATAAATATTCAATAACAATATTTTCAGCATTGTTGGGTATTTGGGATTTTCCCAGTGTAGCTATTGTCAACAAGGCTGCTATGAATGTCTTTGTACATGGATTTCACATAATTTTTTTTTAACTTTTATTTAATGAATATAAATTTCCAAAGTACATAATATTGATTACAATGGCTTCCCCCCCATAACGTCCCTCCAACCCGCAACCCTCCCCTTATCCACTCCCTCTCCCCTTCCATTCACATCAAGATTCATTTTCAATTCTCTTTATATACAGAAGATCAGTTTAGCATACATTAAGTAAAGATTTCAACAGTTTGCTCCCACACAGAAACATAAAGTGAAAAATACTGTTTGAGTACTAGTTATAGCATTAAATCTCAATGTACAGCACACTGAGGACAAAGATCCTACATGAGGAGTAAGTGCACAGTGACTCCTGTTGTTGACTTAACAAATTGACACTCTTGTTTATGGCATCAGTAATCACCCTAGGCTCTTGTCATGAGCTGCCAAGGCTATGGAAGCCCCCTGAATTCACTGACTCTGATAATTTTTAGACAAGGCCATGGTCAAAGTGGAAGTTCTTTCCTCCCTTCAGAGAAAGGTACCTCCTTCTTTGATGACCCATTCTTTCCACTGGGATCTCACTCGTGGAGATCTTTCATTTAGGTTTTTTTTTTTTTTTTCCCCAAGAGTGTCTTGGCTTTCCATGCCTGAAATACTCTCATGGGCATTTCAGCCAGATCCGCATGCCTGAAGGGCTGATTATGAGGCCAGAGTGCTGCTTAGGACATTTGCCATTCTATGGGTCTGCTGGATTTCACATAAATTTTTAACTTTTTAAGATTATAAGTTCTGGCCGGCACCGTGGCTCACTAGGCTAATCCTCCGCCTGCAGCGCCGGCACACCAGGTTCTAGTCCCGGTTGGGGCGCCGGATTCTGTCCCGGTTGCCCCTCTTCCAGGCCTGCCCTCTGCTATGGCCTGGGAGTGCAGTGGAGGATGGCCCAAGTGCTTGGGCCCTGCACCCGCATGGGAGACCAGGAGAAGCACTTGGCTCCTGGCTTTGAATCAGCGCGATGCACTGGCCGCAGCGTGCCAGCCACGGCGGCCATTGGAGGGTGAACCAACGGCAAAAGGAAGACCTTTCTCTCTGTCTCTCTCTCTCACTGTCCACTCTGCCTGTCAAAAATAAAAAAAAAAATCATAACTTCCTAGAGTTGTAGATTTTTGTTGAAGTCTATAAAACTTCATTCATAAATGATGCATAATTTACTGTTAACAGTGCATGATAGAATATATATTTTTTAAAGATTTATTTATTATTTGAAAGGCAGAGTTACAGAGAGAGAGAGAGAGAGAGAGAGAGAGGTCTTCTCTCTACTGGTTCACTCCCCAAATGGCTCCAACAGCCAGAGCTGGGCCCATCCAAATCCAGGAGCTTCCTCTGAGTCTCCTATGCAGGTGCAGGTGCCCAACCATTTGGGCCGTCTTCTACTGCTTTCCCAGGCCATAGCAGAGAGCTGGATCAGAAGTGGAGCAGCCAGGACTTGAACTGGCACCAATATGGGATGCCGGCACTGCAAGTGGGGGCCCTACCCACTGCACCACAGTGCCGGCCCCTAGAATATATCTTAATGCGATCCCAATGGAATTGGGTATTTTTATTTTTAAAAATCTTTGCCATTTAATTTATTGGGTAGTCATATTTCATCTGTGAAATATAAATAGCTATGATTTTTTTAAATGGTTAGTGCATTGCAGGTCCATGAGATAAGTATTATACTTGGGGAAATGAAAACTTTGCCAAAGTAAACAGAAGAGGCAGGAGCAAGATTTGCGTTTTCCTTTCCAGATCTGTTTTTATTTGGTACTGCTTATCCCACATGATCTGGCTGTCTCTTTATCCATTTAACTCTTGAAAGTCCTGTTTTTTTAAATTTATCAATGATAATGTTATCTCTCTCCTACTTGTTTTAAGTATTTGTGCAGTATGTGTGTCCCTTAAAGTTAGTGTCCTCATAAACAGACTTAAATATTAATAGCTATGTTTTTGTCTTTTATCTTTGTCATTGTTTAATCTTAGAAGACATCCTTTAAGCTGTTAT